CATTACTTGTCGTCATACATGTAAATATATTTACTCCGAAACGGCTTTTTATAGCCCCAAATAGAACCTGCCAAGTTTACCAAGCCTCATAAACTCAATTCTATAAAACCTCAAAAGATTAATCCTATCGTCATCATTATTCTTCAATTTTTTTAAAAAATGAAATCAATATTTGCTTTCTTATTCATGCGTCTTTTCTTTTTCTCGTTAGCAACAATCACAACAACAGCCATACCTAATCCCGTCAACGAAAAGGACAACAATCCATCCGAGCACTATTCGCTATACAATTCGGATTCAGCTTATGGGATTCGAAATTTTACAGTGAAAAATGCAAACGATAGTATTCCAATTTTTGTCGAAGAAATCGGTGACCCTAAAAATCCAACTGTGATTTTTCTTCATGGTTTTCTGTATTTCAGACTCATTTTTAATCCGGTATTCAAGAACGAATTCCTCTACAAGAATTTTCATCTCGTTCGGTTTGATAGTCGCGGTGTCCTCGATAGTGGCAAGCCTACAGATCCTAATCAATACACTTTAGATCATCATGCGCAAGACTTAAAGGCTGTCGTTGATGCTATCACTAATGCAAATCCCGGGAAAAAGATAACTTTAGTCGGCTGGTCATTGGGAGTGGCGATATCGACGCTTTATTTAGGAACTTTTGGACAAGATAAAGTTAATGGATTCTTGACTATAGGCGCTAAATTGGAAAGTACTGCATTTGATTCGACTTTGCTTGCTTCCATCCCACAAACAACGGACTATCAAGAAGTAATAGAGTCAAGATATGCTAGTCCAAACTTTCTAATAGGAAAGGATAGACCGCCCCTTAGTGAAGAAACAGCGCTATTCTTCCTTGGTGGAACAGCTCTTACTTCAACTGTCTATCCAAAGCCAACTATAACAAGCTGTAATTAATTTAATTGATTTTCATTCTTATTTTTATGTTTCTTTGAACATGTACTAAATTTTTTTTGTATTTTTTATTTAAAAGCATTTTCAATAGACTATTATAAGTTTACACGAAACTTCAATTTTCCAGTACTGATACTTCATGGCGGCTCAGATCAAGTTGTGCCCACGATTGTTAGCGAACACTTTCTTGCGGAGGTTAAATATGGTAAAAGGATTGTGTATGCCGAGTCGGGTCATCTTCTCTTTTGGGAGGAACCAGAAAGATTTGCTAAAGATTTAAAGGAATTTGTAATGTTTGTTAATAAGAAAAACTAGAGAAAATCATGTCATGTAATTTTGGTCATTTATCTTATCATCATATCATTTACTAGAATTATAAATTTCTTATAATAAAAGAACAATCTTTTAAAACTGATAGTAAATGTATAAATTAAATAATTAAATTAATTTTTCATCACTTGTTCATCTCGGAATGGTTTTGCAGCACAGTCGCACTCACTCTAAATGCATATATGGACATCCTCTAAATGCGCATTTTTTAAAAATATTGGCTACGGTCCCGACGGCTAGGTGTCGATGTTAGCTCCACATTACTATATGTCCGATTCGGAACAAGCAAAACCGGTGACTAAGATCTGACGTAGGGTTGTTAATGGAATGCGCCAGTTTATATTAAAACATATAACCCACGACGGAGGGTTATATGTTATACTATAAACCGGAAACACTCGATTAACAACTCTAATCGAGTGGCATCAAAAAAATTTTGTTAGTATTAGATGTAATTGGTTTTTTAAACTCTCATTATTCCATTAAGCAATTCAGTACTTCGTAAATCGGCAATAATTGGATCGTCGGTTCAGGCTTTTATTCTCAATCTCTAACCCCCTTTTTTTGACAATTACACGTGATACTACCAGTGATCCTAACCGATTAAAATTCTAAACATTTCTATATATAGTAAAATTTAATTGTTAAAAATAATATAATAAAAAACGCATGGTTCATTTCGTTTTGTGGTATAATTAACGTGAAAATTTTCTTAGATCATGATAAAAGCATAACCTCCTGTTTACATATTCGGTTCTCATTTTCTTGACTTTAAAAAATGCACACACTGTATGCAGCCTTTTTATTATTTGCGTAAAAAATGACATGTATTAAAGCATATTTTTCAAAAGAGCATTTATTGAAGTTTTTGAATTAATTTAGAAAACACAGAAAATATGTATTTCATGTAAATTTATCAATTGAAAAATATTGATTAATACCCAAATATCTGTTTCCTAAGGTAATTTATTAATGTTTGAAATTGAAAAATTAACAAAAAATCCTTAATATATCAAAAAATATATTGAGAAATATGTCTTTATTCAAATTTTATCAATATTATCTAAAATTGTTGTACATATCTTAAGATGTAAAAATAAATGCATAATAAAATTTACTTTAAAATTTTAAAAATAAAAATTAGATTAAACATTAATATTTTTAAAATATAAACTTATAATATATAAATTTAAATGAAATTATTATGTAAAATAATTTCTTTGAGATAAATTTAACTGCCATTACGTTCCGCCAGAACTTATTTTGATTGTTTGTAGTCATTCGATCTATTGTATACGATTTAACTTAAAATCTAATAACAGATAATAAAACAATTGAACGAAAAATAATTTTTGTTAGAGAGTTATCAGTGTTAGATACGTATGTCAGATATTGGCTGAATTAATTTTTGTGACTGCAATAGTTTCGATGCCAAAATCATAATGCTGTTTGTATCAACAGTCTGAATTTTAATGAAAAATTAAGGAATTACGCAAATACATTTACATGTGCATGTAACAGTAATGATGTGTAACTGGGTTTGTGCTAAGAAACAAATATTCATACTAAATTTTTGGTTTAAAATTCAGATTATTTTGTTAGAGAATTAATTGTTACTATAATACACTGGTTTTTTTTTGTTATTTACAATTTGATCAGAGAGAGTTATTCAATTTTGATAGAATATAAAGATTATTTTGTGATATATTTACCAATTGTTTAAACAAGTTTTA